AAGAAATGATTCAGGTGGTTAGTATTTTGAACTCAAAATACATACTAAACTAAACTCAATAATTGATTTTTGCCAGTTTTACTTAAATTAGTGTGGTCGCAACTCATTTTAAACATGCCTCTCAATTAAATGTCTCAATTAAAAGTTAATACAAGAATCCTAACTCATTTTTGTAACAAATTTGAACTTGATATTCTGGCATAACTGGACAACGGAGAAGTATTGAGTTTGCTCAACATAAAAATCCTCTTGTAAGCCTGGTGGCCCATTAATGAAAAAACAAATATATTGAGTTGATTCAAAATAAATATATTGTATTGATTGAAAACAAAATGTGGCGAAGCAGTGACGCTACCCAGAATGCATTGCAGCGAAAAATATAAACTTCTCAAAAACCCTTCAATATTGAACAAATACTTTAAGGTGGACATGTTTACCAGTGACTGTGCTGGCCCACTCTCATATATATGTGGAGAGAGAGACTACTGCCTAAAATTAACAGTTGTGAACCGTTTTGTGAATCTAATCTTTGAAAGATGGTATTTGAATAAAGATTACATATTCCTGACTGAAAATCACTTGTTGAATATACTCAAAAAGATTTATTTTCAATGTAATTATTTAAGTTGGTAGTATTGTTAAAATTGAGTTGAACTGATGCTAAAACACTTGCTGAATATACTTAACAAAGTGTCTTTATAACTCAATTATCCAAGTTGGTGGTATTGAAAAAATTGTGCTGGACCAATGATAAAAGACTTACAAAGAATACTTAAAACACAGTCTTGTTCGCAAAACTTAAAAAGATGCATGCAAAATGCTGCCTCAATTTTATTAAGTTTTGCCAATGCATTTTTTTTTAGAGTGCGGGTCCGCGCTGGTCTCTCAAGTCTGGTCTATGCGGTCTATCTTCGGTCCGCGCTGGTCTCTGCGCACCGGTCTCTCCAGTCAGGTCACTCCAGTCTATGCGGTCCGCGCTGGTTTCTGTGTGCTGGTCACTCCAGTCTCTCCTCGGGTCTGCATTGGTCTCAGCGCTGGTCCGCGCTGGATCTCCTCCCAGGGTCCAAAATATTTTGAGATTAATCTCAAAACATTTTGAGATTCATCTTTAAAATAATACATAATATATTTTTAAATTAAGCTCATAACATTTTGAGATTCATCTCATCATATTCTTAGATTAATCTCATAATTTTGCTAGTTCGACTTTATTATCATAATATTTCGACTTTTAAGTCAACATTTTATAACTTTATTCTCAGTCTGGTAAAAGAAGAAAAAAGGGTGACTCTTTTGCTCCGTGTAACTCTTTGCTTTAGGCCTGTTGCTGTTTCCTCTGCCGTCTGCACACGGCCCTGCAGTCCCTTATATGGGCATTAGTGGGCGGTTACTTATGCTAAGGACCTATGGTAATGAAGCACCGGGCACGCGCGCTGTACTTACGAGGAAATGGGATTCATCAATCTGAGAGAACAGCTGCGAACAATTCAGCGGCTTACGAGTGCGTTGATGAATCCCACGTGGGGACTTCTTAGAAATCTACTTAAGAACAACTTGAGAAGAAAGTTGAGTAGTTTCTTACGAAGTTATTCGTGAATGAGGCCCATTGTTTTTTACCAGTTGAATCAAACTTGTTAAAAATGTCTTCAAACCAGTGACATATTTGGGACTCTGATGTCCACACGTCACAGTCAGAGTTCAGAATGATGTTGATGTCTTCTTCTTTGCACAAATTGAACAGTTTTTTGATCAATAAGTGTCTCAATTTTTTGGCATCACAGTACACCACCGTCATGTCCGTCCAGAGCCCTCAGACGTGCAGACCAGCTCCGACTTATGGTCTCTGGGTCCAGACTGGGGTCCAGGGGAGACCGAGCCTTCTCAGTGGTCGCCCAAAACTGTGGAGCAGCCCCCCTCTCCACGTCTGCACTGCTCAGACTGTGGACACGTTTAGGCAGCACTTTGGTCCTCTCTGGTTCTTTTGAAAAGGGCTTTATGAATAAATTGACAATAGTCACATATGATAAGACTGACTGCAGGATGCTCTGAATCTGAAGCAGAAACATTGATTCGTCTTGTGCAACGTTATGTTATGTAATCTACAGAGACTTTGGCTTTGTGTAAGTGGAGCAGACACTCTTATTGATCTGGCTGATTAGGAGCAATGCTATCCATTACTTCTGAAACAATTTCAATCTTTCTATGATTTCAAATGTGCCGCTGACAGTCAGAAAGCGGCAAAGTGACCAACGGCTCATTGATCCATAAAGACAAACAGATCATTCTGGTTTTATAACTGAAGCGCTAACACAGTGTGTGGTGCATCACAGAGACAGAAAGAAGCTGGACAAGGTCATCAAGAAGTCCAGCTCAGTCCTGGGCTGTTCCCTGGACACATGCAGCAGGTTGGGGACAGGAGGGTCCTGAGCAAACTAACATCTATGTGCACCAGACTGATCCTCCCTCGCTGTGAGAAGGAGAGGTTCCCCAGGTCCTTCCCTCCTGCAGCTGTCTGAGAACTGCTGAGTATGTGTCATTCTACTCTAAATACTTAATACTGCAGTCATGTGCAACAATGTCAGAATGTGCAATATAGTAGTATAGAGTGTTTTGTAATTATAAAAATAATAATGATTATTATTATTATTACTATCGTTATTATTATCATTGTTATATTATCATTATCATGAGCGACAGTAGAGACAGAAGCTCAGTTGGTAGAGCATTGGTCTTTGGACCTAATTGATCTTGCCTTGACCCATGTCATCTGCTCCCACTCATGTCTGCTGTCATTGTGTCCTTGGGCAAGACACTTAACCCCACTTTGCCGATAAGGAGCGCGGAAGTGATGTTCGCTGCTTGCCTCGAGGTGTATAAGTGTATGCATCAAACTGAAAATTTCCCCATTGTGGAATGAATAAAGGACCTTGGCTTCTTCTCTCACTGTCCTGTCTGTGCTTCAGTTAAATGTCCCATTGTGACGATTCTTCAGCTTTCACAGAGTTGCTGGTGTTTAGATGACGGTGTCTTTGGTCCGAACCTGGAATTGTGTGGCTGTAAATCTCTACATCATTCCTCCCTCTCTTCACACGTCGTTCCCCTGTGAGCTTGTTCTTCCTGTGGTTCTTGGCTTCAACTTTGCAATAAGTCAAAACCTGAGACTTCCATAAATGATGTGTGGACTGAGGACAAACACGAGCCTCAAAAATGTGGATTAGAAAAGAAGAGAACTGAGCATTTGTATCATTCACATCACAGACAAGATATTTGAGAATGAATTCAAGAGATACTGTTTTAGTCATCAAAGTCTTCTGGGAATTAATCAGACCACAACATACTGTATGTGGGATGGATTGTCTCAGCCAAGGAGAAGTGCTCACTCACCAGATTTGTATAGACCACCAGATCCCAAAGGGCGTGCGAACTGCACTGACCAGAGAGAGAGACCAGCGAGAGAGACCCGAGAGAGACACTAGAGAGAGAGACCCGAGAGAGATCCAAGAGACTCGGGAGACCAGAGAGAGACCTGGAAGAGATCAGAAAGAGACCTGAGTCTGAGAAAAACATCAGAGAGAGATACCAGAAACAACCAAGAGAGAGACCGCAGAGATAGAGAGAGACCAGGGAGAGAGACCAGAGAGAGAGACCAGAGAAAGAGATTTGAGAGAGACCGCAGAGATAGAGAGAGACCAGGGAGAGAGACCAGAGAGAGAGACCAGAGAAAGAGATTTGAGAGAAACCAGAAACACAGAGAGAGAGACCGCAGAGATAGAGAGAGCAGACAGAGGGACCTGAAAGAAAACAGAGAGAGAGCAAGAGCAAAGAGAGAGAGACCTGAGAGATAGAGGTGTTAGAACCTTCTTCTCAATAGCAATTCGAGAAAACAGCTTCAATTGTGTATATTTTGCGAGCTTTTTCTTCTTTTCTGTCCCATTTCTGCGGCTGCTGCGGGGGTGTGTGTGACAACAATATCGAACCGTGGCACTTGTCCCGTTTCTTTCCTGACAAAGCAGATTCTCGGAGCGCGTCTGCCGTGATGCAAGAGCGCGTCTCGTAGAAGCGGGACACAGAGCACAGGGGCGGAGCTACCAAGGTCTACCTGCCTTACGCTGTAAAGCTGGGGGACATAACTTTCAATCACAACAACTTAACTAAGTAATGAAGTCAGTTCCTGGCTTTAAAGCAGTTTGCTTCTATATATCACTATAGTTTTCACATGTATTTCTGGCTTAGATCTGCTTGTTCTGACAGAGATGTGACACAGAGAGGACCACCCTCACTCAGCCAAACAGAGAGAGAGATCAGAGAGAGAGAGAGAGACCAGAGAGAGATCAGAGAGAGAGAGAGAGACCAGAGAGAGATCAGAGAGAGAGAGAGAGAGACCAGAGAGAGATCAGAGAGAGATCAGAGAGAGACCAGGGAGAGATCAGAGAGAGAGAGAGAGACCAGAGAGTGAAAAAGAGGGCACCAACCCTTCCAAAAGAGTCAAATAGTGATGCATAGGGCTTTCTTACAGGTATACAAAAGATAACATGTTCACAACATTTTTACAAGACTCGTCGAACAAGCTGAGGTACCTTTGCATACTGGCCCAGTGTGTAAGATATTGTTTATATTGAAATAAAACTGTCTGTCTGTCTCTCTCTCTCCCTCTCTATCCTCTTTCTATCTCTCACCCCTCTCTCCCTCTATCCCTCCCTCTCTTTCTCTCCCCCTCTCTCTCTCCCTCCCTCCCTCTTTCTCTCTCTCACTCTCTGTCTCCCTCTCTATCTTTCTCTCTCTCCCTCTCTCTCGCTCCATCTCCCCCTCCTCTCTCTCTCTCTTTCTTCTCTCTCTCTCTCCCCCTCTCTCTCCCACTCTCTCTCTCCCACTCTCTCTCCGGTCTCCACGTGCGCAGGGCCTGGCTGCAGCTCCGTGCTCCCATTGGACACACCTCCAGTGGCTCCGTGCTTATAAATGCCGGTCCCCGGCTCAGAGCCCTTCACGCTCCCGGCTGGAGGATGCTGCAGCAGGCTCTTCGCGTGTCCCGAGGCTCCCCGCTGCTCCGCTGGATGGAGGGCCTCTCTGAGCGGGCGACTCGGGGGGCGCTGGGCCTGGAGCACATGCCCGGACCCTCTGCGCTCAGCTTTGCCTGGGACCTGTTCGGCAGACGCGGGCTGTCCAGGCTGCATGAGCTCCAGGTGAGGCGGACGTGATGGAGAAACAGAGAGAGTGTAGATATACTGTAGAGACCACTCAGATAAGATATACTTTATTGATCTCACACAGGAAAAATTTACTCTGAGAGTATTTATTTAAAAGGTTGTTAAGATTTGCAGACTTTAGAAGAGCGAGAAGATATGAGAGACCAGAGAGAGAGACCAGAAAGAGAGACCAGAGAGAGAGACCAGAGAGAGAGACCAGAGAGAGAGACCAGAGAGAGAGACCAGAGAGAGAGACCAGAGAGAGAGACCAGAGAGAGAGAGAAGAGATGTATGTGCATGCAAATATTATTTCTAAATTAAGTGAAACATTCATACTACAAATCATAATGTTCCAAAATAGCTTAAAGCTGAGGTATCTGACTTTTTTGTTTCATGCATATTACTTAGTTTGTCTTAAACTGTAGACAAAGCAATTTCCAAGTTTGTGACTTCTTGTCTCTCAGAATTATTGTTATTCTTTTGATAATAAAAATATTTTTTATTCGTTTGATAATAAAAATAATTCTGATGCTGATTCTGATTATGAAAGTAAAATATTGTGAAAAATAGAGATAAAAGCAAATTTTTTTTAGAGCCAGGAACATGAAACATGGTTTTATTAAATTGTTTGATGCTTGTTTGAGAGTTACGTACCTGAGCTTTAAAGCTGCACTTTGAACCTTCCTCTTGCTTGATGCCATAGATATCACTGGACTCGCCTCTCCGCAGATATGAGCTGCTAATGCTTTTGGTTTGTACTGATGTGTTATTGGATACAGAATCAGATGTATTTCATTTGGCGTAGAGTGGATTTTCAACCATATCATCTATAGTCTTGTTTTTCACAATAATAGATCCCCACTATGGGACGAATAAAGGATCTCTTAATCTTAATCTTGAAGCTGCATTACCTCCCTTTTCTTTTTGTATTCATTACAAAAATTCAATCCAAATCCATGGAATGCATTGGGATATACGTCCTTTTGAAGAATAAGTAGCGCAGATTTGTGCTGCCGTGTCATTTTATTTTAGATCGAGCAACAAGGAAAAGAATTTGTTTCGGGGACCCTTTTCCGGCCGGGATTTGAATCCAGGACCTTCTTATTGAGAAGCAAGAGTGGTAACACTCACTAACTTTCATTTGGACCCAGAAATAGCCTTGCGTATTCTTCTAAAGCCCTGCTTCCACCAGCCTTACTTAGCCCTTTACTTACCCAAATTGGACGTAAATCCACTGGCCCTCTTTAATAAGTGCCTGGTCCTTCCTTAGTCCCTCTTGGTCTTGGTTCTCTTCAGGCCAGGACCAGGCCAGTATTAAAGTGTTCTATCTCTCTCACCCTTCCCTCCTCTCTCCCTCTCTCTTTCCAGCTGGAGGGTGCTCGCCAGTATGGCCCAATGTGGAAGGCCAGCTTTGGGCCCATCCTCACGGTCCATGTGGCCGACCCGGGACTCATCGAGGAGGTACTGAGGCAGGAGGGACTCCACCCCATGAGGTCCGACCTGTCGTCCTGGAAGGACTACAGGCAGCTGCGCGGACACCACTGCGGCCTGCTCACCTCGTAAGGACCCCATAGACACTGACATCAAGAACATGTAGCTCCGCCCGTCTGTCTAAAAGCTCTCGTCTCAGTCCTGTAACCCTATGATGTCATTGTACCACTGTGACATCACACTCAGAGCAGTTTTCTGCCTTTAAAACAAAAGTATTAGCCTTTAATATTTAGGCAATACATAATGCAATAAAACATAGTACATAATACTGATTTAGGCGTCACGGTGGCTGAGTGCTTAGCACTCTCGCTTCTCAGCAAGAAGGTCCAGGGATCGAATCTTGGTCGAAACAGGGCCTTTCTGAGTGAAGTTTGCATGTTCTCCCCGTGTCTGCGTAGGTTTCCTCCAGGTGCTCCGGTTTCCCCTACTACTAAAAATATGTACAATAGGTCCGGCATGCGCCTCCTGTACTGGCGACCCCGCTCTCTGTGTGGAGTGAGAGACAAATGCCCAAAATAAATAACAATTGTAAACCGCTTTGTGACTCTGATCTGTGAAAGGCGGTATATAAATAAAGATTACTAACTTACTTATAAATGAGTTTTGGTAATTTCTCCGGTTAACTTACATTCTTTCTGGTCTCTCGCTGGTCTCTCGCTGGTCTCTCGCTGGTCTCTCGCTGGTCTTTCGCTGGTCTCTCTCTCTGGTGGAAACAAGGCTATAGCTCCATTATTGGTGATTTAAAAGTTTCGTACCCCAGGTTTAAAATCCAAACTGCCGGTGTGTTGCAGTGAGGGGCAGGAGTGGCAGACCGTGCGCAGCCTCCTGGGGAAACACATGCTGCGTCCCAAAGCGGTGGAAGCGTACGACCAGACGCTCAACAACGTCGTCACTGACCTTATCCAGAAGCTGCGGTTCTCCAGGCACCCCCAGAGCGGCCTGGTCCCAGACATCGCCCAAGAGTTCTACCGCTTCGGCCTGGAAGGTAAGGAAAGGACCCGGACCACGACCAGAACCAAGAGCGGGACCAAGACCCGGACCAAGACCAGGAAGATCAGACCTGTACAAAGACAAGACCCGGCCAAAACAAGATTTGGACCAAAAGCAGACCCAGGAGATGACCAGACCCAGACCAGGACCAAGACAAGATGCAGACTGACACCAGACCACGACCCAGAACCAATCTAAACTGAGACCAGACCAAGACCAAGATGAGATCCAGACTGAGACCAGACAGAACCAAGTCCAGACAAGATCTGGGCCTAAACCAGACCTAGAAGAGACCTGGACCACGACCAGACCAGAACAAGATCAGACTCATGTTTTGCTAAGCACTTTTTGTTGCCGTGTGTAAAAAACTGTGCAATACAAATAAACGTGCCTCTCTTCTCCAGACGTCGGAGATTCCCGCTGTACATAAATTCCACTCTTGCTTTAATCTTGTTTGCGGCGATCGTACATTTTGCTGAGGGCCCCAGACTCTGAACCTCGTCACTTTCTTTCTTTTCTTTTCTTTCCTCAAACACACGCTCAGCCTTTCCTGTGACATCACCACACAGCGCGCTCTCGGTAATCGTCGCCATGTGTCCCTGCGCTTTACGACGGAGTGGAGCCGTGCCAAAGCCGCGCTCCCGCTGAACGCGCTTTTATTGTCTCTTACGTAACATTCTCAAAGGCTCATTCACCGCTTTACCGCTTCCTCCGTCCGTCACGCCGCGCAAATTCGCAGCGCATCAGAAATTGAACGTTTGCGCAGCGTTGTCGTGGAGTCATGTGGATGTGAGAGCATGGTGTTCAAAAAATACTTACGATAGACTAGTGACTAAACTAGTGATAGAACCGGCGAGTAACTAGATAGATTAAATTACATAAATCTGGTTTGCTCTAGTTTGAAGCTGGTGTACCTTACTTTGATTTATTATTTTTTTAACATTTCTGGACAGTGGTTATCCCGCTCCCTATAAGGACACATGACTTCTATGTTTTTGTTTGGATTGGATTTTTTTGGACAGTGGCTCAGTTGGTAGAGCATTGGCCTTTGAGACTGAAGGTTGTGGGTTCGAGTCCACCACAAGACCTACTTCACGACTCCCACTGATGTCTGCTGTCGTTGTGTCCTTGGGCAAGACACTTAACCCCACTTTGCCTAAAGCCCCTACTGAAAGATCAAGGCTCCTGTGGACTCACCACCTTCAGGAGGATCAGTGAGGGGCAGGTGCTCTGTGTACTGGGTGCAGTACACATACACATCTGACTGCCACCCCCCGACCCAGAAATGGATTAAGGGGAAGAAAGTGGATGGATGGATGGATTTTCTGCACTGTAAACCCTAAATTCAATCTTACTTCAGATATCAAAGTTATTCTAAATAGATTTTTCCCAGTAAGTAAATATTACTCATTTGTTGTTAGTTTATCTAAAGCTTGGCTATATCACTCAGGGCCGTCTTGGAATTTTGATATTTTGAACATGTACAGTGTTCAAAATATCAGGTATCTTTGCATCGGTGGCTGAGAGGGTAGCACCTTCACTTCTCAGCAAGAAGGTTCTGAGTTTGAATCCCAGTCGGAGCAGGACCTTTCTGATACATTTCCAAGGTTTTTTCAAGTATACTTTACATGTCAGGGTTTATAGTGCGTGTTCAAACTGTTTGATTCTCTGGTCTGTTGAATCAAAAACGTCGTATAGTCCAAGAATACTGCTGTTGTGATTTAGGTCAATACACTAATTGTCCACTTAATGCAAACCTATTCCCCGCCGTTTTTCTCCCCTTTCTCTTCAAACTTCTTTCCGCTGCTGTTTGTCTGAGTGCCGATGTCAACTGTAAACTGTGCTATTGTTTAGACTTTCTCTGGGTTGGAGGTGCGTGTTCTCAAAGCTCTCCTCTCTCTGCAGGCATCTCCTCGGTCCTGTTCGAGTCCCGGATCGGCTGTCTGGACCCCGTAGTCCCAGAGGAGACCGAGCGCTTCATCCAGTCCATCAACACCATGTTTGTGATGACGCTGCTCACCATGGCCATGCCCCGCTGGCTCCACCAGGTCTTCCCCAAACCATGGAGGCTCTTCTGCCAGAGCTGGGACTACATGTTCCATTTCGGTAAGAGCTACTAGAGCCAAGGAGCCCAGGCTTCACAGGAAGAAGGTCTGGGTGGGTTTCCTCCGGGCGCTCCATTTTTTTTCCTCATCTCTTTCAGGTCTTTCTGTTTTCTCTGGCATCTCGTTGGTATCTCTCTGGAGTCTCTCTGGTCTCTATTTGGTCTCTCTCTCTCTCTCTCTCTGTCTCTCTGTCTCTCTCTTTCTCTGGTCTCTCTCTTTTGTCGCTCTCTAGTTTTTCTCTGGTCTCTCTCAGGTCTCTTTCGAGTCTCTTTTCTTTTGTTTCTCTCTGGTTTTTCTCTGGTTTTTCTCTGGTCTCTCTCTGGTCTCTCTCTGGTCTCTCTCTGGTCTCTCTGATCTCGCTCTGGTCTCTCTCTGGTCTCTCTCTGATCTCTCTCTGATCTCGCTCTGGTCTCTCTCTGGTCTCTCTCTGATCTCTCTCTGATCTCGCTCTGGTCTCTCTCTGGTCTCTCTCTGATCTCTCTCTGATCTCGCTCTGGTCTCTCTCTGGTCTCTCTCTGGTCTCTCTCTGGTCTCTCTCTGGTCTCTCTCTGGTCTCTCTCTGGTCTCTCTCTGATCTCTCTCTGGTCTCTCTCTGGTCTCTCTCTGGTCTCTCTCTGGTCTCTCTCTGGTCTCTCTCTGATCTCTCTCTGGTCTCTCTCTGGTCTCTCTCTGGTCTCTCTCTGGTCTCTCTCTGATCTCTCTCTGGTCTCTCTCTGGTCTCTCTCTGGTTTCCCGCTGGTTTCTCTTCCCGCTCCACTTTCCGAGTTCATTTGAGGCAACAGAAAATCCGGCGTATTTTGTTTTTAACCGTTTGGCACACTATCAGTCGCTTTTTGCAGATTACGCGTTATTCTGGTCTCCATAATCCTCCAGAAAGGCCTTTAATCCAGTTTGGACCAGTACCCCCCCAGCAGTCAACCCCCCCAGCATCCAGCCCCCCCAGCGCTCAACAAACGCAACTATTGCACCAGCAAAAGCAACAGAATCTGATTGGAATATGTTCAAACAACAATAAAAAAACATAACATTACATTTGCACCAGTCCTACCCTACCCCCAATTTTTGGAACGTTTCCACTGGCCCCGTTTAACCGGTATTAGGTACTGAGAGCAGCCAATCACTGTTCATTATCTTGTCTGGTCCGTTTCTATAGTCATAGAGGGATAGTAATTCTGCCTGGTCCCTCTCTGGTCTGTATCTGGTCCCTCTCTGTTGTCTCTGTAGTTTCTCTCTCAAGTCTTATCCCTGGTCTCTCTCTGGTCTTTCTTTCTGGTCTCTCTCTAGTCTCTCACTAGTCTCTCTCTAGTCTCTCTCTTGTCTCTCACTAGTCTCTCACTAGTCTCTCTCTAGTCTCTCCCTAGTCTCTCTCTAGTCTCTCTGAGCAAGTAGAGTAGACTCGATCCATCCTCGTTATTGACTATTTTAAAGTCGAATGATCAACACAGGTTGTTTTTGCAGCTAAAGGCCACATTGACCAGCGGATGGCGGCGGAGGCAGAGAAAGTGTCCCGCGGGGAGAAGGTGGAGGGCCGGTACCTGACTTACTTCCTGTCTCAAACCGGACTCCCTATGAAGACTGTTTACAGCAACGTGACGGAGCTGCTGCTGGCCGGCGTCGACACGGTAACCTCAACACACATAGACATATAATCCAAATGAATGAAGTTAGAACCTGACCATGATCAAAAGTCTCCATCTCCCAGTTGTGTCTTTCATCTATGACAACTTGGGGTCTTTTGTGGTAGTTGTGGATGAGGTTCTTTATCCTCTCCGGTCTCTCTCTGGTCTTTCTTTCGGGTCTCTCTCTAGAGTCACTGTTTGGTCTTTCTCTCTGGTCTCTCTCTTTCTGGTGCCTCTCTGGTTTCTCTCTCTGGTCTCTCTCTGGTCTCTCCCTGGTCTCTCCCTGGTCTTTCTCTGCTTTCTCTTTGGTCTCTCTCTCTCTGGTATCTTTCTCTGGGCTCTCTCTCTCTCTCTGGTCTCTCTCTCTGGTCTCTCTCTGGTCTCTCTCTCTGGTCTCTCTCAGGTCTCTCTCTCTAGTCTCTCTCTGATCTCTCTCTGGTATCTTTCTCTGGTCTCTCTCAGGTCTCTTTCTGGTATCTCTCTGCTCTTTTTCTCTGGTCTCAGGTCTCTCTCTCAGGTCTCTCTGGTCACTCTCAGGTCTCTCTGGTCTCTCTCTCAGGTCTCTCTCTCTCTGGTCTCTCTCTCTGGTCCTCTCTCTGGTCTCTCTGGTCTCTCTCTCTGGTCCTCTCTCTGGTCTCTCTCTCTCTGGTCTCTCTCTCTCTGGTCTCTCTCTCTCTGGTCTCTCTCTCTCTGGTCTCTCTCTCTGGTCCTCTCTCTGGTCTCTCTCTCAAGTCTCTCTCTGGTCTCTACAGCAGTATTCTGAGTGTCCCCTGTGCCCCAGATCTCCAGCACCCTGTCGTGGAGCCTGTACGAGCTCTCCCGTCACCCCGAGGTGCAGACCCAGCTTCGGGACGAGGTGACCAGAGTGATGGGCGACCGCCGGATCCCAGAGGCTGCAGACGTGTCCCAGATGTCCCTGCTCAAAGCCACGGTCAAGGAAGTCCTCCGGTCAGTTCAACATGGGACACAATTTCCCTCTTTGGTCTATTGAGAGAATAAGTCCTTTGGGGTTTGGTGATTAAGAACGTAACATTCAGTTCAATATTAGAGTTTGCAGGTACAGCGTTTGTGTGAGGTCTTTGGGATACCAGAAAGAGAGAGACAAGAGAGAGACAAGAGAGACAAGAGAGACAAGGGAGAGACCCGAGGGAGCCCAGAGGGAAACAAGAGAGAGACAAGAGAGAGTCCAGAGAGACACCAGAGGGAGATCAAAGAATATGCTTAATGAATGCTTAATGTAAGTAGACATTACATTGATATACCCGGGGCAGACATCTTGGAGACCCGGGGCTTGGGTAGAATCTAAAGCTGTTTATTACAAATTTGCAATTACATTTTTTCTTCCTCATTCAGGTTGTATCCAGTGATTCCTGGAAATGCCCGAGTCATCACCGAGCGGGACATCCAGGTGGGCGGCTACATCATCCCCAAAAAGGTGAGATCCTGTTGTGTTTAGAAGAGAGCGTGTGATAGGAGTGGACTGACCGAGTGTGACATCACCAAGAGCACAAGCTAGCTGGAGCCAATTTCCTTATATGGTGTTCATGTACATTTATTAATATTTCTGGACAGTGGTGATCCCACTCCTTGCTGTTAGAATGAACTGGAGGCTACACTTGCATCATGTGAAACCTAGATCCTAACAGACCTCTGAAGCTGAGCAGAACAGGGCCTGGTTAGTACTGTGATGGGAGACCTCTGGGAACACCACATGCCACAGTGGGGCGGCTGTAAAGTACCAAACTGTCGTTGTGTCCTTAGGCAAGACCCTTCAACCACATTGCATAGAATGAGAATGGTGTGTGAGTTAGAGGGGCTGATGGCACATACTGGTTGCATTGCTGCTGTCAGTGTGCCACAGGGCAGCTGTGGCTACAGTAGTAGTTTATCACCACCGTGTGTGGAGTGAATGAATGACATGAATGAATGACATGTGAGGCGTCTTTGAGTGTCCCAAAAAGCTCTGTATAAAACTGATGCATTATTGTTACTATTATTAAACTGCAGATTCAATTCAAATCAATTCAAGCCCATCTCAATGGACAAATAAATGAATACATTTATTTTTGGATATAGCCCTAAATCACAACAACCGTTTTCTCGGAGGACTTTACAAAGTTGTGGATTTGCGAACACAAATCAGAGAAAAAACAATTCAAGCACAACTTGGTTCATAAGTATATGTTAATAGATGTCCTTAAATGTAAAAAAAAAAAAAACATGTCAAATGGAAAATAAAAAATAGAAATTGTGCACAAACTATAGAAAGGGGCCTCTGGCACTAGATCCGTTACAGAGCTTCATATCTGCTGTTTCTTTCCAGACGCTGATCACTCTGTGTCACTTCGCCACGTCCCGGGACCCTGCGGTCTTCCCCAGCCCGGACTCCTTCCTGCCGCGGCGCTGGTTGAACAGGGAGCAGGGTCACCACGCCTATGCCTCAGTCCCCTTTGGCGTAGGCAAGCGCAGCTGCATCGGGCGCCGCATCGCCGAGCTGGAGCTGCACCTCGCCATCGCACGGGTGAGACACTCTCCCTTTTATAGAGTTGTGGATTCCCCAACAACAGATCAGAGAATCAAACAATTCAAACACAAGAAAAAAACAATAATAACAAACACATAGGAGCCATTGGTTCATAGGGAGTGGTACGACCACTGTCCAGAAATGTTATTACATGTCCTGGATCATCACTGCCCTAAACAGTGAAAACAATGAAAAAAATGGAGATGACTCTGCACAGCCTTTGCTCGAAAGGGGTTTTAATTCTCACCACACAATGTTACGTTTCGGGTCACTACCCTTCATCAAGAATGTGAGAAACCTCTGGAAGTCCCATAAAGAGGGATTTGCTCCAACAGACAGAGAGGCTGTAGATCCAGGACTGAGGCTGTAGATCCAGGACTGAGGCTGTAGATCCAGGACTGAGACTGTAGATCCAGGACTGAGGCTGTAGATCCAGGACTGAGGCTGTAGATCCAGGACTGAGACTGTAGATCCAGGACTGAGGCTGTAGATCCAGGACTGAGTCTGTAGATCCAGATGCTAATTAGCATTAGCACCAACCCAGTTAATTTGCTTCTTTTCAACCGCATTTTTTTTCTCAAAGTGCGAATCTGCTGGTCTTCAAGAAAACAAGTCACTTTTGCAATTCTTGTTTTAAGGGCACAAACATTTCCAAACATTAGCTTGAATTTACCCTAATTCAGGCTAATGTTGTCATTTTCAAATATTGTAGCTAGGGATAATGATAGTCCTGGTTCTTGGCACACAGAGCGTTACAGACAGACACACCAAGGTTTCTTGCATTACAGTTAGATATCATCCATATAGTTTCTGCTTAAACGCTTAATTCAGTGAAAACCTGTGAATGTTCGTGCCGCTGATGACGCGCTCTTGTTCCAGATCCTGTTGGAGTTCGAGGTGAAGCCGGATCCGGAGGGAGGGAGCGTGAAGCCGATGACGCGGACGCTGTTGGTTCCTGACAGCAACATCAACCTGCGATTCATCCAGCGGTGACTCCTCCCCCTTTTCAAGTGACTCCTCCCTCTTCTGTGACTCCTCCCCCTCCAGGATTCTGCCACCCGCTCATTATTGTCCTCTTTCGGGTCTGAGCCGGGACTAGACAAGACCCAACTCTTTCCAGTCAATGCAAGAGAGTCCTGAGGTGTTCCCAGGCCTCAGATAATATCATATTTATATAGAATGGTAAAGTTATCAAACAGGAGCTAAACTGCGCAAAGTACAATAGAAACACAAACCCTGGACTATTTGGGTGATACAGTGGCTGAGTAGATTGCACTCTCGCTTCTCAGAAAGATCCAATTATAATTTTGCGTTTTGTGTTTTTCTTCACAAAAGACGGAACCCCCAAAAGGAAACCAAAAAATCAAAAGTCCAAAATATATTCAATAGTGTTTTTGTTATTGTTCTTTCCCCTGGTAGGAAAGCTGGTAAACAAATGATCTAAGTTGCATACAGCACCTTTAATTTCTTCCAAAAAACTGTCTCTCCGAGGGGAAACGCTTGGAGACCCCCGGGCTTGACCACGACCCGAACTCATGATAGAGACAGCTCAAAGTCCAGCTCAAAGTCCAGCTCAAAGTCCAGCTCTTTTTCAGCCTCTGGTTTGACATTATAGATCTGAATGCAGACAAAAGCACAATATGCACAAAAAAGCTTGGGTAACTAATTTTGTTTTTGTATATTTCTATTGTGATAAATACTGTATGTCGTGTTGTAATTTGCACAATGTGGATTTATGACAGGTCCTTAATCTCAACCTTTTTATTTTGTTTTCAACTTTAAAGTGGGACTAACCTCATCAGAAACATATTTTTTGGAGGTGTTTTGAGCTCCATCCACTCCTTCTATGTAAATGTCCTCAGTGCATTTTTGAGGAGAATTTCTCTGGTCAAACAACATTCTTTACCAGAACAAAATGGACAGAAGGGGTGGGGGGACTTCAAACAGAGATTTGTATACAGCTCTTTATCCTCTTTTCTAATTCTATGAGGAGTTCTTTAGTCCCACTTTACAAATGTGCAGTACTGTCCTCTTCTGACAGGGGGCAGCAGAACAACACTCTCTGGTGCTATTTTTAAACAGAAATAGTATTTTTTTTTTCGTTTTTTGTACTAAATGTTTGTGTACAGTTGTCTCTACTTTCAGACGGTGCTGTTAATCACTGATGTACTTATCACACTGTGGATGTTTTTTATGGTTTGGGTAAATGAGAACTTATTTTCTCATTACCCACCCAAATATTTAGTGCTAAAACTGGTGAATATAACTGAGATACAGCAAAAGGCTAAATGCTAACTGTGTGTTCTATGGCAACGCTGGTCCAGGACCTGTCCAAGATCAGTCCAGGTCAAGTCCAAGACCAGTCCAGGACCAGTCTAGGATCAGTCAAGGACCACATTCAATGATGGGTTCAAGGGTCCATGTCAAAACCACTATTGTGTCATGTCCGGAGCCATTTCCTGCCTTTTAAAACAAAAGTATTGCCTACAAACTAGGTTTTACAATTTTTGTGAAATAACATTTGATAATTGCAGCCAACAATGTTTGAAGTTGACGGAAACCATTTTTCAACTATTTTAAAAGGCTAAAAACATTGCATTGTATTTATCCTTTGAGTCGCTGCAGCTTTGAACCCAGGAAAACAAAAAACAGACAAAAGGGTTTTAGAAATTGGCAGCTGTTTGTGTGTGTGTGTGTTTCGGTGTAGATGCATGCAAACGTGTGTGTGTATACCTGTGTGTGTCTGACTGTGTGAATGTCTTTTTACCTGTGTGTGTGTGTGTGTGTGTGTGTGTGTGTGTGTGTGTGGCTTCATAGACAATGCAACTTAAATTTGTGATGTTGTGTGCGTGTTTTGTAAGTGTTCTTCTTTATTGTTGTGTACATATTTATACTTGTAACTCCAACTGTTTCAAGGGCATTAGTAAAGTTTATACGCAAAACCGCTCTGCTTGTCGTAATTTCTCTTTGCCTTTTCTGCGTTTACACCTCTCTAAATGAGAGATGGATTTGTCGACTGTGAAACATTCTGAGAAAAGAAAAAGTTCATTCATTCAGACTATCAGAAAGGTAACGCTGTGTTCCTTCAATATTTGCCGAGTCCAAACAGTCAAAAAAGCTGTTTCACAGTAGCAGAACGGTCACGCACACAGACGCTTTCTCAGAATCATGGAGTAAAGTTCCTCTGTGTAAAGTCGTTGTGTCAGTGCAAACAGACACATCCATGCTAATATGAGGTCAAACATGCAACTGAGACCATAAAGACCAGAGAGAGATCAGAGATATCAGAGTGAGACCATGAGAGCAGAGAGGTCAGAAAGAGACCAGAGCGAGGAACCAAAGAGCAACCAGAGAGGGATTAGAGACCAGCGAGGGAGACCAGAGAAGGAGATCTCTGCAGAGAGAGACCAGAGAGAGACCACCATGATTATAACACAGGGGTGAAAGTAGCTCAGTTGGTAGAGCATTGGCTCTACCATAGGTTGAGTAGTGTAGAGTGGGCTGGTGAAAAGGGGCTTGAGTGTCCTAAAAGTGCTTTATGAAACCAATGGTTTCACCCTAACCCAACCAAATATGGTTTCCCCTGACTACACTGGTGAAGGCAACAACATTTTGTAAAGCGAAAAGTGGAAAACAATTTTTTGGCCCAGTTTAAAAAAGACCACTGAATGATAATTCTCTGCTTATATAACCAGAGAATAAAAGCAGGGTAAAATGATTTAATAAAAATCCATAATAACAAATAAAAGCGATAAAAACCTATGCTAAAAAGAGAGGTTTAAAACAGAGCTACAAACAGGGGCAAAAATCACGGCTAAAAATAGGCTGAAAACCGCTGCAGCCCAGTCCTTCGGTTCCATCCTTCCCGTCTCGTGGCCACGGCCTGAGCCGCCAGACCTTGGGGCTTTTACCTCCCCCGTGTCTTTCTAGTTCTCCGCTTCTCTCCCCCCCCTCCCTCCCCATCGCCACCTTTTGTTCCCAAGGCACAGGTGTTTTAACTGTCTGCTGTCAGTGTCACGTGGGGAGCCGGGGTGCTTCTAGTGGTGCAAGTAAAAAAATAGTAAAAACACACACAACATGCATAAAAATATAAAAACATAAAATCTTCTGAAAACCCACCACCTCTTTTGCACCCACCGACACTGATCTAACTTCATGTATTATTTATGAAACAAAAACATGAGGAACTCGATGCTTTAGGTCGCCCACGCTGGCCAGGTCATCCTCCTTTCACTGGGCGCATGTTGGCACACGGTCAGTGGAGAAAAGTTCCCGTAGGAGTAGTTCCCGGGACTGCAGATGGCCTTGACGTTTTCCATGAAGCTCAATCCACAGAAGAAATAGATCAACGTTGCATTCGCCACATCATAAAAGGACACGCTGCCCTCTCTGAAGTCCACAAACACGCCGATTCTCTCCGGTTTCGCCTTGGGAGTGAGAGGGATGTCCGGCCTGGCGCACGCAAAGTACTTCTTCTCCTTCAAACCGATCGCCCAGACGCCATTTTGCGCCTCGAGGATCAGCGTTCCCTTCCTGTTGACGCTCTCCTTGGCCACGCCCAAAGTCCACTCGGTCTTCCCTTTCACCTCCACCTCAAAGTAGACATTCTGAGAGAAACGCTGCTTGCCGAGAACGTAGAACTGGTCGAACCTGTGCACAGAGTCTTGCACGTTGCGCTGCTCGATGCTGTGGTTGACCTGCGCGCCGCTCTGGGACACAACGAGCTGCGCAGGTGCCGTGTCTGCGTCCAGCGTCACCACCGTCTCGAACGCCTTCACTCTCTGCAGCTCGCGATCCAAGATTTCACGAGTTGTTCTGATGAATTCGTCTTCCAGTTTGGACAGAGCTCGAACCAAAGAGGCCTCTGAATTTAGAGGCGCGACGTTAGCAACACCGCGACCGTTCATCTGAGGAGTCGCGGGCAGCTTTTTGTAGTTTTGGAGAATCTGCAGGTGGTCGTCTGATCGCGAAAGTTCATCCACCTGAGAATCAAACAGAAGAATTTATTACAAAGAGAGGATAAGATGGGAGAACCTCTATTTCAGAAAACGCAAAATGCACAGAGCCCCAAAAGTTCAGCCCTACTTGTGCAAGATTAATAGACCTTTACTTTTGCTGATCCTGTAAGATATCTGAAGCTAGGCAGGGCAGGGCCTGGTTAATACTGTGATGCTAGACCTCTAAGAACAACTTGTGCCACAGTGGGGCGGCTGCGGATGCAAAGTGCCAGTATCAGTCCGAACAAAGTATGTTAATGATCTGGCACTTGTATTGAAGCAATTTCTGTTAATTGGTTTCACAGCGACAATATTTTCTTGTACTTCTTTTGTGTTTTATTTATATAATTTTCTTTTGCACATTGGGGTACTCTTGCACATATATTCCAAAGTGGTTTTACAGCACATGGCAAATAAACTGAATCTGAATTAGTTACTGAATCTGAGTCCATGCCTTTTAGGTGGCTTATGTCTTATATTCCAGCTTAATGAAGCCCAATAGGGATGTGCTCATGCAGACTTCTCTCCTCTAGCTCAGTAACTGGTAATATCACACTCACCAGTTGTTTAGGGCTGTCTGTGATCTTGGGTGTTTCCTTTTCATATTGTCTTTGTTAGCTCTGCTCTGAAGGTGTAAAATATCTTTTAGGCCATGAATGGCATGCTCTGCCAAAGCAATTTCCAAGTGGTGACTTTTGTTACTTACGTGGCAATGAAAAATGATTCTGAATGCGGCAATATCCTCTACAATCCTAATTTAAATCATTTTAGTTTAATGTAAGAAATCCTTCATTCGACCCACAGTGGGGAAATTTCCGTGTTGCATCACAAATTACAGAACAGCCAGAATGAGGAGCACACAGCACAAGATGAGTGATTATTAAGAAAGGCAAAACTTTTAAAACTAAGAATACTTCTCCTCTATCTCCTCTGGGTGGTACCTGTTCCAGCGTGGCCTCCAGCACATCGACCTCCTTCCGCAGACTCTGGATCAGATCTTCTCTTTGGATCTTTGCTTCGGCCTGATCTCGGACCAGTTTGTCCAGCGCTCGGTCCACAGCCTCCCGCAGAGAGGAGAAGACCTTGGACCCTTCATCTGTTTCTGGACCCTGCACGGGAAACATGTGGTTTAAAGGAGACTTATGATGCAGGTTCTGAACCATGTCATAACTTTGTTCCTCATCAGTCACAGACCTGGAAATGTTTTTAGATCCATCCACCTTACTATGAGAACAGACATGCAACTCTGCCCCTTCTGAGACCACAGAGACACCAAAGAGAGCGAGAGAGACCAGAGAAAGAAAAACCAGAGAGACGAGAGAGGGATCACTCTCATTCTGACATCTCACTCATACCTTTGAAACAAAAGTATTGCCAATAAATTAGTTTGGTTAAGACGCTCTCTGAAATAGATAAGAAGAGTAGAGTCCCTGTGTGATGGGACACAAGTGCGTTTTGTTTTATTTATGCATGCTGAGTGTTTTTACTGCTATGGTTTTCAATTGCTGTTGTGAGTTTTATTGTTTTGCTGTGATTTCAAGCGCATGCTTTTAGACTGTTTAATTGGTTGCCCTCACGACAACGCACACCCCACCCCTGATGAGGATGGACCAGGACACCTGCGGGTGCAATCACCGTGAATATAATCACCTGGGGAGCACAGCAAAAGGAGATTGGGACCGCAGACAGGAGACGCGATACCGGGGAGCGGACGCGCGGCGAGGGGAGGCGAGCCCGGAAGGAGAGGCCAGCACGCACCGGGCCAGCACCATGGCACCCACGCTCTGGACCCCCGCACCACGACGAGAACTACACAGAGGCAGGGCATTTGGACCCTGCCCTGCCGGTGAGTTTTGCTCTTGTGTAGACGTGGTGTATGGGAGCCTTGGGCTGAAGGGGGGATCCTGGGTGCTGTGCGTGGCTGGCCCGTGTGTGTGCTGTGCGACAGGGCTGGAGCTCGCCGCTGGACCCGGACGCCCCGTAGGAGGGGAGCGAGGCGGCGCAGCGTTCGGGCCGGGAAGAGAGGCGAGGGACCGGAGGCAGCGAGCACCACCAGCGAACAAGTCAGAGGATGCAGCGGGAGAGCGGGGAGCTCTCCCTGTCCGTGAGTACCGCTTAACCGCTCTAGCTCCCGCTGCATCAAGCGGCCTCAGGCCTGGGCTTCCTGGTGGGTGTGAGCGGGAGAGCTGGCCCTCTGCCTCTCTGTTGCAGGTACGACGCCAGCAGCTGCGCGCGCGGAACCCCCCCCTGATGCCGTGGGAGTGCTGCCCTTCGTCCATCTTCCGGGCGAGAGGACCAGGCCCTTTGGACCGCTATCATTTTATCATTTTATCGTTTTAATTCTTTTTTTAATTACTATTTTATCTATTTTATATTGTATTAAACATGATTTTAATTCATTTTAACTTCTGGTTTTATTGGGAACACCCAGCTCTTTTAATCCATAAATTATTTTATTCGGCACCTTTTCTGGCAGTTTTTAATCTACCTTTTTAATGTCAATACCTCAAAAAAAAACCCCAACTATCACATCTGCAGTACACACTGACCTCCACACGGCGGCTCAGTTCTTGTATTGCCTCCTTCCTGCTCTTGATCATTGACGTTACTTCACTTCTCCTCGTCATCAGCTGCTGTTTCTTCTCTCCCGACACCTCGCTCAGTGGCCCCACCTGGTGACCGCCGTGGTGGTAGCGCACACACATCACGCACACGCACTTCTCGTCGCTCATGCAAAACAGATCCAGCGCTTTCCCGTGCTCCGGGCAGAGTCTACCGTCCAAACGACTGCGGGGCACGATCAGATGGTGCCCCTTGAGGTCCGGGTTGTCCTGGTGCGGGGCCAGGTGCGTTTCGCAGTAAGAGTCGGCGCACACCGGACAGGACTTCTTCGCCTTCTGCTTGCAGGCGCCGCAGGAGACCTCCCCGGGTTTGGCCTTCTGTGCCTTCGGTTCTTTGCGCCTCACAGATTGCTTAAATTGGCGAGACATTTCAGAGATGAAGTAGTTGACGGTGAGGTTGGGTCTGAAGGGGAAGACGTGCATGCAGAAGGGGCACTTGTACACCGTGGCGTCCGTCCAGTTGCGCTCGATGCAGGGTTTGCAGAAGCTGTGGCCGCAGGGGAGCGACGCCGGCTCGGTGAAAACCTCCAGACAGATGCAGCAACGGAACTGCTCCTCGGACAGATGAAAGGTGGCTGTGGCCATCGCTCTGCACTGATAGAGATAGAAAGAGAAAGTAAATTCAGGCAAGAAGGAACCTTGCAGCTGGTTTCAGCTCCACTTGGGCCTACTCTACTCTACTGGGCTCTACTCCGATTGGCAGTGTTTCAATCTGCCCTGTTCAACCGGTACCAGGTCCTTCTTTAGACCCGCACTTGGCGGAATGGATCACTGACAGTCCCGGCCTGGTAGTCTCTTTAGTTCTGGAACACTCAGCCTCAGTCCTCGTTCTGCAGCCTCAGTGCTACAATACAATACAATACAATTTATTCTTGTAGAGCCCAAAACACAACAGAAGTCCTCTCAGAGGACTTAACAAAAACCATTGAAATCGCCAACACAGATTAGAGAATCAACAGTTAAGACACAAAAAGAATATAAAACACATGTTGATAAATGTCCATACATGTTGTAGAATGTTAAAGTGTCCTGGATCATCACCACAGTCCTTGTTAGACACTGACTGTCCAGCAGACCCTCCTGCATCAGCAAGGAAAAACTCACAAAAACCCAGTGGGGAAAAAGTGAGAAACCTCGGGAGACCCACATGGTGCTGGATCTGCAGCCTCAGTGTCATGGTCTGGATTTTGGTTTTTTTACTTATTTTAACTTCAGTTCTCGGTGGTTTTGTTTTTTAGTTTGACTTGCTGTCCTATTCCCCTGTTGATTGTCTGCCCCGCCCTAATGTGTTTTCCCTGTGTCTAAATGTACCTGTGCTCCTCTTGCTGGTCAATGGGCAATGTCTTTGTTTGTCCATGTCCTTGTTACTGATTCCTGTGTCTCATTTGGATTTTTGAGTTTCTTGGATTTTCATTTTTCAACATTAAATAATCATTCATTTTGCATTGTTGCGTTTTGAGTCTTCCTTCACTCCATCCTCGTTTTACAGCCTCAGTCCTGGATCTATGTCCTTGAGAGCGGCTCTCCCTCTCAATATGGTTCCTTACATTTTTTCCCAGTGGGTTTTGAGTGGTTCTTTACAGGTGTAACGCCGAGATACACTGCCTTGAAGAGATGCACTGCCTCAGTTGTTTATGAGGTAATGCAAACCTGCGCATGCGCGTCTCACGGCAGCCGAAGCATACCAAGATGGCGGACCGTGAATTTCTTTAAAAGTTAAAATACAAACGAATTAAGACACGAATGTCACTTTTAATGCAATTTGAGGCAAGATGTTGATGGTTCCGTTTTGTCACATGTGGGTTTTAAGAGTCAAAGTTTCGTGTGAAACCACAAAGCTAATGTTTTCATAGCAGCCTCCGCGGCTGCTGACGTGGGCTGATGACGCGTCCTGTGGCAACTCTACAGCTTACAACTGGTCTGTCGGGATTCTCAAAGAAGAGATCGGTCGGCCAAGATGGCGGTGCTTTAAGGCGGATTTTTGTCAAGCTCTCAGCACAACATCCGTAATATACTAGTTTTACTGTTCATGGCTAAGTAAATTTTAAAGTTTACACCTAATACTAGTTTCCTAACCACACTTGGACAAAGATTGTAACTTTACAAGGCTGAAGATGCCCAACAGAACGGAAAGAAGACGTTTCCCGGGCGAGGAAGGTGCTAGCTCCTCTGCTAACGAACACGACTACAACAACGGCGCCAGCGGGATGGAGTGCTCGATACCAGCAATGGCAAATGAGCTGGAATTCCCTCCACTGCCCGTTACACCGAGTAAGCCTCCCCTTGCTAAGAAGCCTTCGCTGTCCAGATTCCATGATGCTAATGATAGTCTTTCTAACACTACTGCCCGCATGCTTGCCGATTTGATCAATTCAAGAAGCGACGCGCTTGAAGAAATTATTGGCGCCATTCGCACTGAGATGAAAGTAGTGAATGTAAAGATCGCCGCCATTGACACCCGTGTTGGCAAATGTGAGGATGCTACTCAGAAAAGCTGGGCCCGAGCAGCTGAGGTGGAGAGTTATGGGAGACGGTGGAACCTGAGGCTGCACGGGGTGACTGAAACCAGGGATGAGAATGTTCGTGAGAAGGCCATTGCTGTGTGTCAAGAAGTGCTTCCAACTATAAAGGACAAGATGCGCGATATCATTGATGTTGCTCATCGAGTGGGGAAAAAACGCGGCGATGACCCGAGGCCCCGCAGTATCATCATAAAGTTCGTCTGGAGACATCACAAGGAGGATCTGTGGAAGGCTGCCAAGACCTGCGCTTTTCTCCAAGGAAATGGTCTGCGCTTCAGTCTGGATCTTTCAAAAGAGGACAAGGACAACCGCGGGAAACTGTGGCCCAAAATCAAGAAAGCGCGAGAGGAGGGCAAGACGGCCTATTTCGTGGGTGGAAGAGGATTCGCCGATGGAGTTGAAATATTTCTATAAGAATTAGCTGTCTGACTATGGTAACGTACTTGGTGCTCTGTTTACAAGTTCTTATAAGCTCTAATATTCTAAAGGGATGACTTTTAATTGCACTGATTAGTGTTTACGCATTTAAAAAAAAAAAAAAAAAAGTTACAATTTTTTCAGACGGTTAGGGGAAAAAAAAAATTTTTTTTGTTGAACAATTTTGCATATTGTTGCTGATCTTGACAGCATGTGGTTTATATATATATATATATATATAAGGTTTTCTTAGAGGTTTATTGTCGTTTGCAATTGTTATTTTACGTTAGTTAAATCTGTCTTTATCTTTCTTATCTATTAATGCTAGGGGTTTGCGCAACAACATTAAAGAAGCTATACCCGATTTTTTAGTAGTTTTTAAGTAGTTCATAAAAATGCTTTTTACTACATACAAGTTGTATCATAATACATCATTTAATTGAAAACTTGAGGTAATTGATTCAGCTGTGTAAGAATTACAAGCAGTGAAAAGTGCTGAGTAGAGTCTGAGCGGGCCGCTCTTTCTCCTCCGCTCACAGAACGAGCAGCGAACAGCCTGCGTCCTCTAGCCTCTACAGCGCTGCTAAACACCAGGACTTCAAAATTCGAATATAATTCTAAAATAAAAAAGGATGAACAAAATAATTGAATAAAAAAATTTGAACAAATATTAGACAACCCTTGTAATTCGAAATGTATTTAATGACTGCAAATAAAATAGTTAGCTCCCAAAGGTTTCACCGGGGGCGCATGCGGTGATGGCTGCGACGTCTGCGGGAAAAAATGGTCGGAGAAATGCGGCAAATTCAAACCTGGTTAACAATCCACCCTTGGCGGCGGTTGAGCACGACTGTTCCGTGAGTAGGTCAGCTTTGGGCAGCGGGGGGGATCTCATTGACTTAGAAGAGGAGGAGGGCATGTCTACGGAGCTACTGCTAAATGAGAAGAGAAGGGAAAAGCGTAAGAGAAATGGCAGTAGTAATAGTAGTGGTGGTGAGGATTCTTTCCCAACTAGGGAGACAACAAAAATGTTTGTAATTTTGAGATTTAATGAAAGAGTGCAGATTAATGTTAAAAAGCTGAGTCCGTTCATTTTGACTGCTGAACTTAACAGCAGAGTGGGAGATATAATTTCTGCTAAAGTGCTGTCGGATGGAAATCTGCTTGTCCAATGTGCAAACGACGAACAGCTCAATAAGGCGTTGAACTTAAAGCAGTTGGGGAAGTTTAAAGTGGATAATGTTGGGCAAGTGGGTGCACAGAAAGGAGGGGGGTGTAAAGGAGTAATCTCTGGGGTACCCATTAGTGTGAAAATGGATGACCTGAAGAATAAAATCAAAGGAGGAAAAGTGATTTCAGTGGACCGAATGAAAGCATCTAACGGAGGAACTAAGGTGGATAGTGAAAGTATCCTGATTCATTTTGAAGAAAGTAGTCTGCCGAGGAAAGTGTTTTTGGGTTTCATTAGTTTTCCAGTGAGAGCCTATATTCCGAAACCATTGAGGTGCTTTAACTGTCAACGGTTTGGGCACTTGGCAAGGAACTGTAAGGAGAAGAGGAGGTGTGCGCGGTGTGGTGGAGATCACGAATATGGGAAATGTGAAGACGGGGTTCAGCCTAAATGTTGTAGTTGTGGTGGGAGTCACAGTGTTGCGTATGCTGGGTGTGAGAGAATGAAACAAGAAAATAATATTCAAAAAGTGAGAGTGGAGAAGAAGATCTCATATGCGGAAGCAATGAGAATAACGAGAGCGAGTACACAGGTCAGCGTCGACTCAGAACAGGGCATTTCTGGGCAAGGAGCCCCCCAGACGGACGCAAATTGTATTGTTATTGACAAGCTGGCCTTAGTTACTTTTATTGCAGGAGTGATAAACGCCACAGCTGAGGTAAAATCCAAGCATGAGAAAATTCAGCTTATTGTTAAGGCGGCAGTTAACCACCTGGGATTAGAAGGACTGACATGGGAAGTTGTGAGGGATAACCTCAATCATCAGTCAAGTCAGGAAACGCGATGTTGTTCTCCTTAATCATGGTACTTCTCCTTCAGTGGAATGCAAGGAGTCTGTTGGCCAATGGCCAGGAGTTTAAGCACTTCATCAAAGAACTTAATGTTAAACCGGATGTCATTTGTATACAGGAATCTTGGCTTAAACCGTCTTTGGATTTTGTGTTGTATGGGTATAATGTAATTAGAAATGACAGGGTCCATGTTGGAGGGGGAGGATGTGTAACATTTGTCAAACAAGACGTCCCATACAGACTGTTGGGTAAAGGTGATGATCTAGAGTATGTAGCTATCGAGGTGTGGGGCGGGAATGATCCAACTGCCATTGTAAATTTTTACAATCCTTGCGCCAGGTTGGAGCTGCTGCGTCTTCGGTCTATTGAAGGCAGTGATTATCGTAGAGCTATTTGGTGTGGGGATTTTAATGCCCATAGCAGAGTGTGGGGAGGTACACACACAGATCTTAATGGTCTGGTGATTGAGGAATTGATGGATGCATGTGAGTTGGTTTGTCTGAATGATGGCAGGGGCACCAGATGCAATGTTGTAAATGGCACAGAGTCAGTACTGGATTTAACCTTGGTTTCAAATGTCCTTGCAGGAATAAGCCAGTGGTCCGTCAGATCGGACACAACCGTAGGAAGCGACCATTATCCTGTTTTCTGTGATGTTGGAGGTAGGATACAGGTGACTCCAAGAGAGGTGAATAAGAAGTGGAGTTTTCATAGGGCTGACTGGAAAAAGTTCCAAAAAATATGTGAGGAAACGATTGATGAGGTTGGAGAGTCTAGTAGCATTGACCATATGAATAATCAGTTTACTGAAGTACTTATGACAGCTGCGCGGACTTCAATCCCAATAAGTAAAGGAAGAAAGGGTAAAGTTTTGGTGCCGTGGTGGACAGAAGAGTGTCACACTGCTGTAAAGGACAGAAACAAGGCATTTAAATTCCTCCAAAGGTCTCTAAACGTGCAGGCCCTTATTGCGTATAGGAAAGCGGTGGCAGTGGTCAGGAGAACAGTGAGACAGGCAAAGCGGAGAAGTTGGAGAATGTTCTGTTCTAAAATAGGAAGAACCACTCCTGTGGGAGATGTCTGGGGCATGGTCAGACGGATGGGAGGTGACCGGCGGGAATGGGAATACCCAGTTCTGATCTCAGATCAACGAACCTTTGTAACGGACCAGGAAAAAGCAGAGGTGTTGGTAAAATCGTTTGCAAAGGTTCATAGTTCTGATAACTTGTCGGTGATGGGGAAAGATGGAATATGTCGAACTAAAGCCCAGTATCCAGAGGCTCTGGGAAGGAAGACCTGTGCAGACCTTAGTTTGGATGCATTGTTTTCTCTAGAGGAAATGGTGAGAGCGCTTAGGGCAACAAAACCCACGGCTCCTGGAAAGGACCAAATTTGTTATTTAATGTTGAAGAACCTTGGTAAGGAAGCACTTAAAAAACTGTTGTGTTTAATTAATACAGTTTGGGTTAAGGGAGAGCTCCCAAGTGCTTGGAAAGAGGCTGTTGTTGTGCCTATCAGAAAGCCTGGGAAGGATCCAGCTAAACCAGGTAGCTACAGGCCAATTGCGCTAACGTCAAATGTGTGTAAGTTGATGGAGCGTATGATAACGGAAAGACTGTCCTTTGATTTGGAAAGGAAAGGGGCTTTAGCCGAATTTCAGAGTGGTTTCAGGAAAGCTCGAAACACGACTGATGCTGTTGTTAGACTTGAAAATGTGGTTAGAAAAGCTCAGGCCAAAAAAGAGTCTGTTTTAGTAGTGTTTTTTGACATAGAAAAGGCATATGATATGTTGTGGCGGGATGGGCTTTTAATCAAGTTGCACAAGTTGGGTGTTGGGGGCAGGACGTTTAATTGGATCCAAGACTTCCTTTCTGGTAGGAAAATTCAAGTGCGAGTTGGGTCTGCATTTTCTAGTCAGTACACGGTTGAGAATGGAACGCCGCAGGGCAGTGTGATTAGTCCCCTGCTTTTTCTTATAATGATTGATGATGTTTTTTCCGCCGTGCCTGAGGGAATCGGCAGGTCTTTGTTCGCTGATGATGGTGCGTTATGGAAAACAGGTAGAAACGTTGAGTATCTAGTGGGCAAAGTCCAGGATGCTATAAACAGTGTGGTTGAGTGGGGATTTGACTGGGGATTCCGTTTTTCAGTGGAGAAAACGAAAGTGATGTTCTTCACCAACAGGAAAGTGAGTGAGATGTTGAAATTGAAATTGTATGATGAGGAAATTGAGAAAGTGAGCTCTTTCAAGTTTTTAGGTGTTGTGTTTGATTCACGCTTGACATGGAGGGGTCATATTGACCGGATGGAATCCAAATGCAAAAAAGTTATCAATGTTATGAGGTGTGTAGCTGGGAGGGGTTGGGGTGCGAGCTGCTCTGCTTTGAAAAGTCTTTACCAGGCGTTAATTCGATCTGTCTTTGATTATGGTTGTGTGGTGTATGGTTCAGCAGCTCCTTCTGTGCTGAGGCGGTTGGAGGTGTTGCAGTCGCAAGCCCTTAGAGTGTGCTGTGGAGCGTTTAAAACGTCTCCAGTCAATGCCTTACAGGTGGAGATGGGAGAGATGCCGCTAGATCTAAGGAGGAAGCAAATGGCTGTGAATTACTGGGTTCATCTTGGCTGTCATGGTGGTTCACATCCCACAAAGGAGGTGCTGTTGGAATGCTGGGAGTATGGGAAAGGTCAGAGGGATCATTTTGGAAAGGTGGGGAATCAGTGGGCTAAGGAGTGTCAGGTGTCAGACCTGAAACTGTGTCCTGAATTGGTGTTCCCTGTTGTTCCGCCATGGTTGTTGGGGACTCCTTTTGTTGACTGGTATCTTCTGGATCTGAAGAAGGAACTGAAAGGAAGCGTGGATCTTGTGTCGGCATATCATTTCCACAGTTTGAGTAAGTACTCAGAATATGTTCATGTGTTTACAGATGGTGCTAAAAATCCAGACAGTGGAGTTACTGGATTTGGAATAGCGGTCCCGTCAAGAAATATTGGGATAAGTAGGCGCACTTCAGATGGACTGGCGGTGTATACAGTTGAGATGGCAGCAATTTTGATAGCGTTGAAATGGATTGAACATTCAAAAAGTAGTCGAGTGGTAGTGTGCTCTGATTCTGCAGCGGTTCTGTCAAGTGTACAATCATTTTGTTCTAAGACGAGGCAGGGTATGCTATATGATATTTTGGTTACATTAAGCAGAATAAGGTGTAGGGGCAGCATGGTTCACTTTCTTTGGGTGCCGGCACATGTAGGAGTCAGTGGAAATGAAAGAGCGGATAGATTGGCGAAAGGAGCTTTGAATAGCAGCAGGGTTGAGATGGGAATTAAAAGCAGTAAATCCGAAGCAAAGAGTATAGTCTGGAGGCAGGTAGTTCAGGAGTGGCAGCAGCGGTGGGATTCTGGGGTTAAGGGTAGGCATTTGTATAATCTTAAGAAGGAGGTGACAGGGGTTGGGGTGCATAGGGGTAATAGGAGGGAAGAGGTGGTCGTCACAAGGCTTAGACTGGGACATTGCGCACTGAACAAAACATTACGGGTGATAGGGGAACATGGCACAGGGCTTTGTGGAGCGTGTCAGGAGTCGGAGGAGTCGGTAGAGCATGTGCTCTTACAGTGTAAGGGCTATGATGCAGAGAGAGAAGCTCTGAAGAGTAGGATGAAGGAGCTGGGTGTTGGGGAGTTCAGTTTGAAGAGTGTGTTGGAGGGTAGTAGGGCACAGATAAGGGAACTTGTGGGTTTTTTAAAGGAGATAGGGGTTTTTGATAGAGTGTAGGTAGTAGTGTGTGTGGTGTTTTATTATTATTATTATTATTATTATTATTATTATTATTATTATTTATTTTTTTTTTTTATTTATTTTTTTATTTACTTTGGGTTGTTGTAGATTGTAAGTTCACTGTATGACCCATACTCCGGAACAGTAGGAGGCGGTAATGCTCCTAAAAGCTGGTTGCCAACCGCCGTAAAACACCAAGAAGAAGAAGAAGAAGAAGGTTTCACCGGGACGTGCTAGGCAGGTAACAGCTAAGCTAGCTAGTTGTTTCATGGTAACTTCCGGGTTTTTCGCAATCGCTTTTTGTCACATTGAAACAGTATTTTTGTCATGAAAACGTTAACAGCAAATTCTGAAATCATCCGTGCATGTGTGTTAAGGATGTATATGTGTACTGTATTGTCCGATTGACGTTTAATGGTGTTGATTTATAGATATGTAGTTGTTTATTGAGCGTGGCTAGCTCCGTTGGCTTCTCTACACAGACAAGTGTGTAGTGACAGGCGCTGACAGCGTTTTGTACTTGTAGAGTAATGGCAGTATTTTACACACCTGAATTACAAACAGAGGTTGCATTGGGGCTTCGGTCATTATTGGTTTGAGAGTTCTGTTATCAAGAAAAATGATCGGAAGAATTGCTGCTGCTGCTTTGAGGAGCTCTATAACAAATTATAATTAAATATTAGACTATATCCGATATCCTTAGTAAATAATGATTACAAGATTTTCGCCTCAATTGTTGCTAAAAGGCTGAAGAAGGTATTAAACTCAATTATTGAAGAAACTCAGTCAGGATTTATGACAAAAAGACATATAACAAATAATATTAGGCTGGTTATGGATTTTCTTGATTATTCTGAATTGCTGGATGACAATGGCTTTATTTTGT